CCTTAACCCTAAACCCCTAAACCCCCTAAACCCATTCCCCCCCCCCGAAGCAAGGTCAAACTGGGTTTCGGCGACAAAGATTCGAGGCCTTAACCCCTACCCCTTACCCCTAACCCTAACCCTAACCCTACCCTAACCCTAACCCTACCCCATCCCACCCCGAGCAGGGTCAACTGGGTGCGCGACAAGATCGAGACCCCGAGCGACCAGGTGTCCCAAAAGAAAGAAAACAGACAGCCCAAGGGAGGGATGGGAGGACGGCACGCCGCCACCACACAGGGATTTTAAGGAGAGGGGTGTGATGCGCTAGCCGTCGCCCACCCTAGGGAGTCTGCCTCTTCCTATCTCTTTTCGCAGTCTCTCGCCGCTTCTCGCTGCAACCTTCATGCCACCTCGCGGTCGTCCCACTCTCGTCACCAGGTGTACCAGTACTCGGCCGCAGAGCGGCAGGTCATCTTTGAGAACATGGCCAAGGCCGACCACTTCGAGGCTCGCCATATCTCCCCAGATCTCCCCAGATCTCCCCAGATCTCTTCAGATCTCCCCATCTCTCCCCTATCTCTCCCCCATCTCTCCCCCGTCTCGCCATGTCTCGTCATGTCTCGTCATGTCTCGCCATATCTCGCCATATCTCGCCATATCTCCCCCATATCTCGCCATATCTCGCCATATCTCCCCTGCAGGCCTTCCTCGCTAGCAAGTTCTCGCTCGCCAAGCGGTTTGGGCTCGAGGGGCTCGAGGTCACCATCCCGGGCCGCGGGGAGATGATCCCATATCTCCCTGTATCTCCCTGTATCTCCCCCGAATCTCCCCAGAGGTCACCCTCCCGGGCCGCGGGGAGATGATCCCATATCTCCCTGTATCTCCCCATACCTCCCCCGAATCTCCCCAGAGGTCACCCTCCCGGGCCGCGGGGAGATGATCCCATATCTCCCTGTATCTCCCCATACCTCCCCCGAATCTCCCCATAGGTCACCCTCCCGGGCCGCGGGGAGATGATCCCATATCTCCCTGTATCTCCCCATACCTCCCCCGAATCTCCCCAGAGGTCACCCTCCCGGGCCGCGGGGAGATGATCCCATATCTCCCTGTATCTTCCCATACCTCCCCCGAATCTCCCCATAGGTCACCCTCCCGGGCCGCGGGGAGATGATCCCATATCTCCCTGTATCTCCCCATACCTCCCCCGAATCTCCCCATAGGTCACCATCCCGGGCCTCGGGGAGATGATCCCATATCTCCCTGTATCTCCCCATACCTCCCCCGAATCTCCCCATAGGTCACCATCCCGGGCCTCGAGGAGATGATCAACGTCGCGGTGGACCGCGGCGTCGAGAACGTCGTGCTCGGCATGGCGCACCGCGGGCGGCTGAACGTGCTCTCTCTCCCTCTCTCTCTCTCTCTCTCTCTCTCTCTCTCTCTCTCTCTCCCTCCCTCCCTCTCTCTCTCTCTCTCTCACTCTCTCTCTCTCTCTCTCTCACTCCCTCTCTCTCTCTCTCACTCTCCATCTCTCTCTCTCTCTCTCTCTCTCTCTCTCTCTCTCTCCCTCCCTCTCTCTCTCTCTCTCTCTCTCTCTCTCTCTCTCTCTCTCTCTCTCTCTCTCTCCCTCTCTCTCCCTCTCTCTCTCTCTCTCTCTCTCCCTCTCTCTCTCTCTCTCTCCGCCAACGTGTGCCAGAACCATATCTCCCGCATATCTCCCCACATCTCCCCCCCATCTCCTGCAGGTGCTCGCCAACGTGTGCCAGGGCCGCTCGAGCAGGCT